CATGTCACACAACGGTGAGTGTCACTGCTGCCCACACACCTGGCCACCTGGGTGACACAGTGCCAACTGCTCTCCTGTGAAGGGTCCCCATGGCCTGCTGTGCTTTAGCCCATGGCTCTTCTTGCTAGGAGATCATTCAAACTTAGTGCTTCAAGCATTTGACTCCTTTTCCCCTTTTCCTGTATTAGAAGGGGCTGTTCATTCCCACCATGCAGTACAGTTGCTGGCACGTGGCTGTCCCATGCGCACTGGCCCAGAGGGAACTGGACACACAGATTATTCTGTGCTGGGACTTTTAGACTTCAGGTGTAAGAACCTTGGACCCAGACAAGCAATAGCGTTTATATGGGAAGTGGGGTTTGTGCAAGAGCCCAGAGGGATGGGACGAGAGTCTGGTCTGAGGAAGCAGCAGTGGCTGGTTCATGAAGCTGTTAATGCTGGAGGAGATGCAGCCTGGAGAAGCATTGTGTCATGTAGCTGCAGGTGTCCAGCAGACCTGTCTGTCTGCAGTGGCAGAACAAACTGCTGCCTCTCTGGATGCATCTCCTGGGGTGCCCCTGCTGTCCTAACCCCCAGTTTTACCCCCCAGCAATCCGCTTCGGGCGCATGCCAGAGGCAGAGAAGAGGAAGCTGGTGGCAGGGCTGACGGCAAGCGAGATCAGCTGCCAGAACCCACAGGTGGCTGACCTGAAAGCTTTCTCCAAGCACATCTACAACGCCTACCTGAAGAATTTCAACATGACCAAAAAGAAGGCAAGAGGTATCCTGACCGGGAAGGCCAGCAGCACCCCAGTAAGTTCCCTCCCAGGGCAGGTGGGGTTGGCCATAGCCAGCACGGGAGACTGTTCTCTGGGAGATGCTGCACGTCTCTCTGCATGTCCTGCCCCTTGCTGGGGAAAAACCCCATTGCTCTGCAGACTTGTGTTGTGGTGGGTGGGTGCAGATTGCCTGGGCACTGTCAGCCCCAGAGGCAGGGCACAGCACAGGGACAGGCAGACAAACATGACTGTCCTGAGCAGAGCTGGCACCTCGAGTCCCCTGCAGCAGACTCCTAACTTGCTTCTTGTTCAAGCAGCCTTTTGTGATCCATGACATGGACACCTTGTGGCAGGCAGAGAAGGGGCTGGTGTGGAAGCAGCTGGTGAACGGCATCCCCCCCTACAAGGAGATTGGGGTGCACGTCTTCTACCGCTGCCAGTGCACCACGGTGGAGACTGTGCGGGAACTCACCGAGTTTGCCAAGAGCATCCCCAGCTTCATAGGCCTCTACCTGAACGACCAAGTGACTCTGCTCAAGTACGGGGTGCACGAGGCCATCTTCGCCATGCTGGCCTCCATCATGAACAAGGATGGGCTGCTGGTGGCCAACGGGAACGGCTTCGTGACCCGCGAGTTCCTGCGCAGCCTGCGCAAGCCCTTCAATGAGATCATGGAGCCCAAGTTTGAGTTTGCTGTGAAGTTCAATGCGCTGGAGCTGGATGACAGTGACCTGTCCCTGTTTGTGGCTGCCATCATCCTGTGTGGAGGTGAGTGGGTGCCAGGTCAGGAAGAGTCCTCCCTACTTGGAGGTGGTTCAGAGGGGGCTGGGGGAGCTGAGCTGAAGCTTGAGGTCGGCCAGGGACGTCTCAGGGGAGTGAGAGAGAAGAACTGAACATTTCCAAAACCAAAGCTTCTCTGTGGCAGTGATGCCTGGCAAGCTTAGACCAACAGCAAGGAATATAGAAGTGGCATCTCCTTCTCATGTGCTGCTGTGGGATATGTTGTCCAAGGGCACACTTCTCCCCGTTGTAGCTGCTGAGGTTGAAGTCACAGTGGGTGGGTTACAGTCCCCAGCTCCTTTCCCCAGCAGCAGCGTGTACTTTGGAGGGCTGCACCATGGCCCTGCAGCTACCATGCTTCCTCTCCACAGACCGGCCTGGCCTGATGAACGTGAAGCAGGTGGAGGAGATCCAAGACAACATCCTGCGAGCGCTGGAGTTCCACCTGCAGTCCAACCACCCGGATGCCCAGTACCTGTTCCCCAAGCTGCTGCAGAAGATGGCTGACCTGCGACAGCTGGTGACAGAGCACGCCCAGCTGGTACAGAAGATCAAGAAGACAGAGACAGAGACATCTCTGCACCCACTTCTGCAGGAGATCTACAAGGACATGTACTAAGGACCTGTTATTTATGAGAATGAAGCCATGGATTCCCATCAAGGCTCTTTGTACAGAAACAAAGAAAACCTTCCCAGTGTCTTCCATTTCTCCTACTGGAAACTCTTTTCTATGTGACCCTGACATACGGTACATAGGGCAAGATGCCGTCAGGATTTGCAGCTGCCTCCTGCTCGGCCAGGGCTTCCATTAACACACACTAACAAATCTGCAAAGCTGCTGTTCCCGTTCCTATGGCCCAGCTCTGGCTGCTCCTGGAGCAGAGCAGCCACCAGGTTTACATGGCTCAGGCAGCGAGGTCACTGTGGCACCTCGGGTCCCCAGGGTGGGGAGCTCTGGTCCTTAGGAGGGCTGAGGAGGTGCAGGGGCCAGCAGGGCTGACAGCAGCACTTACGGTGGGTCTGTAGTCTCTTGTTCATTTGCACTGCAAGGACGTGGTCCTGAGCCGTGAAGTCTGGGACAGTGTGATGAAAGGATGTTTCTCTATTTCCCAAAGAAAAGCTGGAGTATTTGAATGCAGGTAGGGCTGTCCCACAGCTGCAGCCCCCCCGTGCTCTGCAGTGTGTTCCTGTCTCCCAGCAGGACTGTGTGAACTCTGCCTTCCTGGGTGCTGTGTGGGAGCCTTTGCTCCTGGCACCCTCGTTCCATACGAAACGTGTCCCTTGGCACCTCAGTATGAGAGGCTGGGATGGGGAAGTAGGAAGGAAAGGATTGGACTCCTTAAAATTCACCTTCAGAGCAGAGGCACAGAATCCATGGCTTCCACAGGCTGTTCTGCACAGGCATGAATTAAAAAATGGTGTGTGGAGCGTCGGGGGCCTTGAGCTGGTCACAGTTTGGTGTCCTGCCTCAATTGCCCCTCTGTGGAAGAGGCCTGGATTGTCACATGCTGTCTGCTTGGAGCAGGAGCATGAGGATCTGCTAGTGCATTGGTTGCAGAGAGCTTTGCAGCTGTAAATGCCAAGGATTTATAAACAGAGAGGGGGTGGTTGGGATGCTCACAATGGGCAGGACCTTCCCAATGAGCGTGGCTGTGTCAGGGAAGCTTCCAGTCCTCTGCCACTGTTCCCAAGAGTGGGAACAGCTCCAGGCTTAGGGGTCTGCCTGAACATTCAATGATTTTGCCTCACAACTTCTCACAGCTGTAGTGAAACACCACCGTGCTGCCTGGGCCAGGCCAGGCCCCTGGTGTGGGGGTTGTGTCATTTGGGCTTCGGGCACAGGGAGGATGGACCTGGGAAGTGCTGTTTCCCTTTCAGGATAATGGTGTCTCACTTAAGATGTGACACTTCCCTGTCTGCAGCTCAAAGTCCCCCATGTCCTGAGCAGCCTTATTAAAATATTGATATTCCCTAGGAGGAGTTGTGGGAGCAAATTACTCGGTTTTCTTTTACTTTCCTCCTCTTCAGGGTAGCAGATTTCCCTGGTGCAATAATTCCTTTAAAACCCAAAGGGGAAGAGCACTGGGCTTTCCCTCCCCATCACAGGGCTGGCCGGTCCCAAACCTCCCCCTGCTACCATACTCCACTCCTTTTGCCGTGCCTCAGTTTCCCTGGCCAGCCCTCCCCTCCCTACCTCGCAGGGGTGTTGGGAATTACCGTTTCTGAAGCACTTTGAAGCCCTCTGGGGGAAGGCACTGGAGACATGCGTGTGCTGGTTGGAGCCAGGGGGATTTGTCCTTCCCAAAACCCCAGTGGTGTCCCCACCAGTGCAGGACTCGTGCCCATCACCTGGGAAACTTTTTGCTCTTCCTTCCTCGACAGTATAACAACCCTCAAACCGAAATGTATATTTTTGCTAGAAGTACAAACCTCCAAGTGTTTTTAATAATATAAATAGTGTCCACAAACTGACTTGACTTTAAATAAATCTGAACTAAATATTTAAGAACCTTTTAGCTTCCAGCCTGGCTTTGTGGGATTTTTCTCAGCACCTAGTGGGGGGCTGTCCGTGGGAGGATTTCCAGCCGAGGCAATGGGATTTGCTGTGATTTCCAGGGATTTGCCATTATTCCTGGAGCTCTTAATTCTCAGATTTCGGACCTGCTGTGGTGTTCTTGCCTGCAAACCTAAAGCAGCAGAAAGAGTCAGTCCTGAGCAGGATCCCAGCCTCAGAGGTGGATGCTTTCTACCCCAAATGCTGCGGGTGGAGCTGGAAATGAGCTGAAAACACCGCGATAAAGGGAACAATGAGCTCTAGCGGGGTCAAGTGCTGGCACTTGGCGCTGCCCTTGGCTGTGGTAAAGCACCTGAGAATTTGTAAGGAGGAGCTGGAGACGCCCCAGGCTGCCCCGTGCCGGGCTTGATTGCCCTGAAGGCAGCTGTTCTATGGCTCCCTGCCTCCCCCATGCAGCTGGAGGCACGTGGAGCCGTGGTGCTGCTGGGCAGGGGCCCAGGGGACACGGCTGGGGACCCTGTGTGGTTACCCCAACAGGCAGTGAAACATCATCCAGCTGTTCACTCTCTCCGTTCCCGGTGTGATGGGGGAGAGAACTGAGAAAACAGTGAAATCCACAGGCTGAGTTAAAGACAGTTTAATAGGACTGAAAAAGAAGGGAAAATCGTAATGATAAAAGAATTAGAATATAGAGAATTTAGTGTTGTACGGTGGAGTGATGCCCCCATCCAGGCTCTTCGCGGCAGGAGCAGCAGGAGATACAAAGTCCTTGACTGAGTGTAAACCGTGCTCAGCGACTGGGTGCTATCAGCTAGCCTGGGCTTGTCCTCCGCCCAAAACACGTGTCCCTGGCTACTAGGACCCGGGACTCACTGAGGACATAAATAGCCCTGGGAGGTGGCCCAGCCCTCTTTGCTGCTGGGGAAGAGGTAGAGGCAGGCTCGGAGATGGCATCTGGGCCGTCAAGGACCGAGACAAGCTGTGTGAGACCCCTGTGCAGGTAAGGGCTTGAGGATGGGGTGATTGGGAGCAGCTTTTTTGGGGGAAAGGCTGGAGATGGGGCACCTCGCTGCGCGGGTAGGGAGTGGATTGGGATGGCCGTGATCCACCCTCCCTATTTCCCCATCCCCCCTCCGGAGCTGGGGATCGGCGGCAGCGCTGCAGCCAGACTCCCCTTCCTGCCAGCCCCAGCCAAGGGCTCCTGCCCTTCTCCCTGCCCCAGCCCTCGGTACCCCCGCTCCCCCAGTCCCCAGGAAGGTCTCCAAACACTCCCGGTCCCGGGCTTCCTTTGCATTGCAATTAAGCGGGAGATTAGGCTAGATGGGGCTGGGAGGACCCTGGATCCCCCTGGTTCTGACCTTGACAAGGACTCCTGAGCCCAGACAGGGGGTTTTCCAAAATATGTCCCCACCCAAACATAGTTGGTACTGGGGGGGATGCTAGGGCAGGGCTGGAGCACGGTCTGACCCCAGCCATGTGACTCCTCTGGCTAACAGGGATTTTGCCCGTGGATCCTGTCGGTGGGGCCCGAGCTGCCGCTTCTCACATGGCGAAAAAATAGCCCAGGTCTGCAGGTACTTCCAGAGTGGGTTTTGCCGTTTTGGAGAGCAGTGCAGGTAAGGAAGGACTGTGATACCATGAGGATGGGCTGGGAGCCAAGAGGAGTTGTACTGGACTGATGGGACCCTCTGTCTCTGTCCCTGGGCTCCTCCAGCTACCAGCACGCCCAGGAGGAGCCAGCACCAGTAGGGACCCAATATGGTCTCACGTCCCATCGCCCCAGCAGCCAGGAGCCTGGTACTGACCCTACAGCCATGGACCAGGCACAGTGCACCTCGGTCCACCCTGCCCACTGCATGAGGTGTATGGCCTTCAAGTTCCCCAAAGTGAAGGTCGAAGTGGAAGAAAAAGACAAGAAGAACATCCCAGTACTTGGCAACATCCCCTGTGGGGCCATCAGAATACTTGTCCCCGCAAAAGCTCAGGCTGCCTCAGGTAGGTGACAGGCTGCCCAGGGGACCACTGGGGTGGTTATGGTGAAATAGCCTCTGCATGTTTCTGCCTATGACCCAGGCCTGGGCCAAGCTGGGGCTGTGGAGAGCTCTCCAGTGTAGGGACTAACACTGCTGAAGCTGCACTCTCTGAGCAGCCTGCCCAGCTCTCTGAGCTTTTTCCTTCTAAGAACTCTCCTCCTGCAGACTTCCAACCACAAGGACTAGATCCAGGATCCTCTGACCACAGAGAGGCAGTTTTGGAGACAGCGACTGGCCCTGCAAAGGTGGGTTTGGGGTCTCCTGTGGCTGGGCACTCCCTGTCACCCTGTGGTGTTCCCCAAGGCCAGGGCAGTGACAGAGCCAGGGGGTTGCCATGCTGTGCTGCTCTGCTTGCAGGTCCCTGCAGAGCCAGGTGCTGTGGCAGCCCTGGTCACCACCGCAGAGCTGAGAGCCCAGAGCGAGGCCATAGTGTGTGGGATCTGCATGGACAGGGTGTACGAGAAGGCACTGCCAGAGGAGCGGCTCTTTGGGATCCTCCCGAACTGCAGCCACGCGTACTGTGTGGGGTGCATCCGCAAGTGGCGGCGCAGCCGGGACTTCCAGAACACCGTCATAAAGTGAGTGGGGATGGGGACGTGGCAGGGTGGTCATTGTTCCCCCTTCTGTGCCCTGAAATTATTCCTTGGGTCTGGTGATGTGGCTTTGGGATTGGCGTGACTTTCCTTCGGGAACAGGCGCTTCAGAGGGGTGATGGGTATGGGGGGTGCTGGATGAGGCCAGGGCAGCAGAACCACCCAGTGTGGGTGCTGAGCCCATGCTCCCTGCTCCCTTCTTGGGACACCCAACTGCACCCATCACCCTCATCCAGGGCCTGCCCAGAGTGCCGGATCACCTCCAGTTACTACATCCCCCACAAATACTGGATCTCAGATGTGGGTGAAAAGGAGAAGCTCATCAAAAACTTCAAGGAACGGACAGGGTGAGTGCATGGCACTGCTGCGGGGGTGGCAGGGCTGTGGGCTCTGTGCTGCTCTCAGAGCTACACTCACAACCATGCTTGGAATCCCACAGGAAAATCAGGTGCAAATTCTTCGTCCGTGGCCACTGCCCTTTCAGATCAGAGTGCATCTACCTGCACGAGCAGCCTGCCCCGCAGCTGCAGCGGCACAGACGGCGGCAGCCGAGGGTGCCTGCGGTAAGTGGGGTGGCACATCCCGGGGCTGGGCTGGGCTGGGCACCGGGAGGCTGCGGCTCATCCTCCCTCCTCTGCTGCAGGTGTTCATCCCTTCTTCCTCGGACAGCTCTGACGAGGAGGATGAGGAGTATGACTGGGCTCTCACCCTGGCCATGCTGGATACAGATCATGTTTACGCAAGTTATCTCCACGACTTGCTGGTCGTTGACTTGAGCGATTCCGACTGAGCCATCGGGGCCACGCTGTGCCTGGGTGCTGCTGGTGGCCGGTGGAAGGGTCTGCTTTTGTCTCCAGCCATTGTTTTGGAGTGGTTCCAGCCGTGGTATGGGGTGGGATGGGGAAGCAGTCTGTCATTTATGGGTGCGCCGAGGAAGACTCAGGGCACAGCTCCCCTGCTCCTGCCCTGGTGCCCACTCTGCGCCCATAGGGACCCACGGGTGCTGTGGCCTGGGTGCTGGGAGGCAGCGGGGGGGTCTGACATCCACAGGCCGGGCTGGGGGGGTGGGCAGCAGGGGGACACTGTTTTAAACTCTTTTTAACCAAATCCGGGAATAACGAATAAAACGGGTTGTGTAACGCCACGCTTCCGTGAGTCTTATCATCTGTGGGCTGGGGGATGCACCCTCGGGGTGGGGGGGAAAGGCGGTCTTTGGGTTGGAATTTAAGGGATATTTGCATAACGAGCTCCTTTGCGCGCGGTCGGTTTGCGTTTCCCGGGGGCGGGACCGGAAGGGGCTCCTTGGGGCCGGGGGAGAGCGGGCAGAGCCCGGCGGGAGCGCGGGGAGACCCGGGGAGGGATCGTGCGGTGACACCGGGAATGAGCGGAGACAGCCGCGAGGAAGCGTGTGGTGAGACCGGGGAGGGAGCCCGGGACTGCCCGAGAGTGAGTGAGCGGTGACACCGGGAGTGAGCGGTGAGACCCGGGAGTGAGCGTGCGGTGACACCGGGAGTGTGCTCGGCACTGCCCGAGAGCGGGCGGCGGTTCCTGGGCACAGCAGTGACCGGGGCAGTGCATGGGGCCGGGGGAGCCCCACCAGCAGCGCCCCCCGGGAGGGCAGCGGGGTTGAGCTGGGGCTGCCAGAGAAGGGGGGTGTTGGAGGGCACGGAGGGACTCCCGGTGCTCCCGCATCCTCGGGTGGGCAGGGCGGGTAAAGGCAGCTCCCGAAGTTGCTGCCGGGGTCGGTGCCGAGCAGGTCGTGGTCGTCCGGTGCCTCCCGAGTGTGACCCATGTCTGGTTCTCGCCGGTGTGACCGCGTCCGGCTGTCCCGGGTGTGACCCGTGTGCGCTCTCCACCTTGTGTGTGTCCCATGTCCGGCTGTGTCCTGTGCGTGTGACCCGGTCCGGCTGTGTCCAGTGTCCAGCTGTCCCCCGTGTCCGTACCCCGTGTCCGGCTGTCCCCCGTACCCGTGCCCCGTGTCCGGCTGTGCCCCGTGTGTGTGACCAGGTCCGGTCTCCCCGTGTCTCGCAGGCGGCTGTGCAGTCCCTGCCGCAGCGATGGAGCCCCGGTGCCCGCCCTGGCTGCAGCTGTGCCCCCGGCCGTGCCGGCTGCTGCTCCACGCTCTGTGCTCCGGCCCCGCCGGGGCGATGGCCGCGCTGCGGGTGCTGCAGCGGGGCCAGCCCCGCCAGGGACCGGGGCAGGCGTTCCCCTGGCAGGCTCTCACCGCAGCCCTGTGCGCCGAGGAGCCCTCGCTGGAGGAGCCGAATGACACCCTGGCTGTGTGAGTTGGATACATTTCTAAAACTCGGTGTTTTGGGTGTCAGGTGCATAATTTGGGAGAGCACATCTGCTTCCCCCGGTGCAGCGGTCCGTACATGAAGTTGGGAGCATAGCAGTGACCCCCTGGTGTCCCAGCCTGTGTCTGCAAGGGCTGGTGAAGGCATTAGCTGCCTCCTCCTCTTGCTTGCAAGTGCTGTGGGACTCTGCTCCACGGGGCAGGTTGGAGTCAGGACGGGGGGATTTGCTCTGACCACTCACCTCTCCTTTTCCAGCAAGCCACGGCTGCTGCTGCTGCCCGTCTTGTGCCAGAGAAACCTCTTCTCCCTGCTCCTCGTGGTGCAGGATGCAGTGCCAGGGGACTGCCTTCTCCGGCTGCTCCAGGCCTTGGAACAGGATTCCCATGTGGATCCCTGGGTGCAGGCACTGGGGGATCTGCTCCGGCGGGGACCAAGGGCAGAGGAGGGCCCCTCACTTCCCACTGCCCTGTCTTCCACATGCCAGCAGCAGCTTAGAGGCCTGTGCCAGAAAATTACCCAGAAGAAACCAGAGGGGCAAAGAAAATTGAACTGGTGCTTCAGCAAGCAGCCTGTTGCCCCTGACTCTGTGCCTCAAAGTGGGAAGCGCAAGAAAGTGCTGGAGGAGAGCCTGGAGTTGGACAGTGAGAGACAGGGGAAGAGGTTGTTGCTGGAGGAGGTGGCATTTGAGCCCCTGGGCCCCCAGGAATGTGGAGATGTGGCAGGGGTGCAAGAGGAGGTGCCCGAGGAGCCTTCAGGGGACACATCTGCTCAGAGCACAGACAAGGCTGCTCCTGACAGCTCCCAGCAGGATGCAGCTGGGGAGCTCAGGAAGATTTCCCAGACAGAGCTGGCAGCAGAGGTGCAGTCCTTTGTCCAGGTACTGTGTGTAGGGTGTGCTGTCCCCTTCCAGGCAGTGAGCCTTTACGGCCTGATTCCCATTCCTTCATCTCATTTCCCTCAGGTGCATGGACAGGGGCTGAAAATGCTGCTGCTGCAGGAGTCCAGTGTAAGTGGTTGCTTCTGTCTCTCTCCTGGAGCTGATGCTCTAAACAGGGTCATGCCAGGGCCTTGGGAGGGTTGGAAAAGGAGGTGGATTTCACAGAGCCAGCTGGATGGGGATAAAAAGCCCTGTTGGCACTTCCTCTGGGCTTGGGATACAGACACCTGCCTGCACCTGGCAGGTGTGAGGGGCTGCCTGTGGGCTCAACACTGACAGACATGGGGGAAGGGAGAAGCCCTGGAGCTGCATTTTGTGGCTTGGTTTATTTGATGCATTACTCAGTGTTTCCCTCCAGCACTCCGAGCTGCGCACCCCACCTGAGCTGAGCATCCTGAACAACTGCTCCCCCAGCCAGGTGAGCCCCAGCATCCCTGCTGCAGCTGCTGCAGGGGCTCAGCTGCTGTCCCTAATGTCCCATCCCCTCTGCCATCCCCAGCTCGAGGGGCTGTGCTCCTTCCTCCAGCTCTCCACGTGCCCAGAGCCCTCCCTGGTGCGTTTCTGTGGCTGGCTGCTGGCTCTGACCCCTGACCTCAGCTACACCAGCGCTGCCATCCTGGCAGAGCAGCTCTTCCTTAGGCGAGTACGTGCCAGGGCAGAGGAGGTTTCCTGCTCCCTGTTTCCCTCTCCACTGTCCCCACCTCCTGCCTTTTCTGTCCCTAGGTCCTGTCCCTCACCCAGCCACCTTCCCGACACCTCATGGCTGCCCTCACTTCGTTTTGCTCCAAGTATTCCCACCCCTTCTGCCGTGTGCTGGTGGCTGCGGTGCTGCAGGAGCCAGGGGAAGGTGTGCTGGGCTGGTGGGAGGTGTGGCTGCTTCTGGGAGCTGGAGGGGTGCTCCAGCTGCAGAGTGCTGTCTCCTGGGAGGCATTTGTCACATGGGATAGGTGTTAGGAACCATGGAGGTGTGGGGCTGGTTCTTTCTGGGCAGGTGAGCACTTGGAAGTTGGGATGGGAAATGGGTTTACAGATGCCTGAGATGGAGCGGGAGAGTTGGCTAGGCTGGCTTCTGGCTTCTTTTTTCCCAAAGGACAGTCCCCATACCTCCGTGATTGGAGGGCTCCCGAGGGCTCCTAATGCTCAGGCCAGAGGTGCCCCAGGGTGGCTGTGCTGGTGTGAGGAGAGAGTGAACCCCTGGCACAGTAGCATCCCCTTTTCCCAGAGACTGCTGCTGTTTAAACCCTTGCTACAGCTGGGCAAAGGAAGCAGGATTATCCTGAGCAGTAGAAGGGGGCACTGCATGGTTTCTACCTATCCTGACTGGGACATACACCTGTGAAGGGGTGCCGGGCAGGGCCAGGCACATCCCCATGGATTTGGCTGCTTCTGGAGGCTCTCCCCTGCTGCTTTGGCCTTGCAGGGGCTGAGCAGACCAAGCTGATGTGCGAGCTCGTGGAGGAGTGCCTGGAGCCCCACTCTGTGCAGGTGGTGCTAAGGTGAGGGGTTACAGGGCTGACAGCTCTGCTTTGGCCTCACCTGGATGGGTCCAGGTGGCAGCAGCCATTTGGGAGCACCAGCAAGGCCGTGGAGCAGCACCTTTCCTCTTCCCTGTCCTTCCAGCCAAGTCCTGGAGGTGCCTTTGTCAGAGAAACTCCTGCCAGTGCTGCAGGCTGTGCTGGGGCGGCAGGTGAGGTTTCCTTGTCCCACGGGTTTCATTGATGTCTCCAGCAGTGCTGGAGCAAGGACCCACTCTCCTACCTGCTCCTGTGTCTTTTCCAGGAGGTGCTGCCCCCTGAGCTCTTGGATCTCCTGGTGCTGACTCTGTGCCAGCAGGCCCCAGCCTTTGCCACGTCCCTGAGTTTTGCCAAGCTGGTGACAGCTGTGCTCACGGTGCATCAGAGCCAGGTGAGCCAGGCCAGGCTCAGCTCCTGCAGCTCCTGAGACCTGGCCCAGAGGTCTCAGGTGGGCTCCTGGCAGGGCAGTGCCCTGAGCTCGTGCTGTCTCCATCCCAGGTGACCCCAGCTCAGCGGAGCAGTCTGGCTGCTGTCCTGGATCGGAGCAATGCAGCACTGAAGAAATCACTGCAGGCTGTGCTGGAAGGGGCCAGGTGAGGTGGGGACACGGGTCCCTATTGTCAGGAGAATTAATCCACAAACACCAGAGGAGAGTCCAGAAAGGAGACAGAGGAGTCCTTTTGCTTTATTCGAATAAAGGAAGAGGCAATGGGGCATTCCCCTGGGATCTCTCAGATTTTTGGAGGACACAGCCTCCTTTTTATCCCAATTTCCCATTTGCATTTCCCTCTCTCTTTCCCCATTGGCTGAGGTGCTTGAGAGGTACAGACTTCCCAAACCCCTGGTATGTAACATTCCCCTCTAATGTCTAACCCTCTCTTTTAATTTTTAATTCTTACAGAATTCTTGTTTTTACCCATTGTTTCATTCATCTTTCAATATCCAATTTCATTTACCAGCAAACCTACAGTTTGTTTGTAAAGGCAAATATCTTTTATTCCATTCATCAATCAGTGGAATCTTTCCCATTGTTTCTTTTATCTCTCAGTGCTGGTTTTATCTACCAGCAGACCCACAGCTCGTTTGTAAAGACAAATCCCTCATTCCTCTCACTGTCATGGGGGATGGCAGACTCTGCACCCTGGGCCACCCCAGGGGTGGGGAACCAGAAGGGACCAGAGGTGTGCAGTGTTGTGACAGGGGCTTTCCTCTTCTTAATTTTTGTCTTTTCTCAGGTGACCACCAAAAGGGCTGGTGAGGTGACAGCTTCCTTGCGTGGAGGACACTCATTGCACAGCAGCAGCCACAGCCACCCCTCACTGGCTTCCCCCTGGTGAGGTGGGACCCTGACAGGGGGGTCTGTTCCCCACAGTGCCCAGGGCTCCCCCAGCACCTGGTTGTGAGGGGGCTCTTGCTGGGCAGTGCCGTCTCAGCCCCCCACACTCCCTGGGGCTTGGAGGGGTCTTGGTTGAGCAGTTAATGTGTTTTCAGGGGTTTCTGTACCTGTTCTCCCTCGGGCCTGCTACACTCAACAAGGTGACCAGGCAGGTCACAACCCATGGAGGACTTCAGGTCCTGAGTTCTTAGAGCCCAAAACACACCACAGACATTGGTTGAGGCTGCATGAAGTTGCTAATTCTGGAGTTAGTTCACTATCTTGATTTTACCTCAGCTCATTCCAAGGCACGAGTTTCATACACATCCACATTCCTCCTCAACAGCCAAGCTGGTTTTGGAGTGGTGCAGGCTGGGCTGCTGCTTTGTGTATCTGATCTGCTGGGATTTACAGATCTCTGGGTGTAGGAGAGTGGGATTTAGCTGGAAATTTTGAGCGTTCTGCTTTAAGTCCACCTTTCTTTCCTGTTTGCCTGGCCTGTGAGGGGCCCTGCTGTGTGTGACACATTTCTGGTGATGATGACACTCACTGCCCTAATAGAAAGTGCTTGTATGCCATGACTCTTGAAAGTACCCACTGGAAACTTCATCTAGGCACCTCCTGGTCTGAGAACTGAGAAGAAAAAGTTGGGAGAGAGTGGAGATTCAGGCAGGTAGAGCTAGGGTTTCAGTGGAGGTTTTGAAGCATTGCATACTTCAGGAGCTATTTAAAAATCCATAAACATCTACAAAGGGAGAAGGAGCATTATAACACGCAGGTGTGATCTGTGACTGCCTCAGGTTTGCTCAATAATGTTTAGATCCAAGCCAGAGGAAGGAAACTCTGAAGCATTAGGTGACGCTCTTAAGGCTGAGAGCACAGATTTCTTTGTATAAGAATCTCCTGAGCTATTTTAGGTGACACTGGACTGATGAGGCTTCAAAGTCCGCATTAGCTGGAGGATAGAAACCTCCAGGGAGCCAGATTGTTGATGTGTTTGCATTCCAGTGTGTTAGTGTCTGAGTATAGTGAAGCTATTGTAGGGCTGCCCAAAATACGACATAAATAGAAATTGTGCCACGATCATCAAGGTCTAAGCCTGCTCTTCTGGCTTTATTAGGTAGCAGGCTCTGATCTTTGCAGTTTCCTTGCAGAGCTTCCACCAAGTGACCTCAGTGTCATTGTCCCCAGTGCTCTGTCTGGCTGTGGCTGTGGTCACATGGACATGACCACTGGCTTGTGGCAAGAGCCTTCTTATCCCTGGTTTTGCTCTTGGCTGCAGCTTATAGTGTGCTGTGGGTTCCTCTGAGGTGTTCATGCAGATAACAATCATGTAAGGAGAGCTGGGAGCAAACCCTGGGGACACTGCGCATGCTGGTGGAAGACTGCTTGTTTATATGGCAGCACCTGCACAGAAAACTTTACTTTTGACTCCTCTTGACCCTTCCAAGAACTTTAAAATCCATCCTGAACAGCGCAAGAGAGATGCATGCAGCATAAAACATCAGTCAGATTTTATAGTTCAGCAGAACCTTGGCCAAGGGTGGTGGGAGTGCCAGGACTGGCTCTGTCCTTGTCCTGATTTAAGAGCAGTGATGGTGAAGGGAATGGTCTGAAGCTTTGTCTGAGACCTTTCCTAGGCTGGAGGTAGAAGGCAGCATGTGATTTTCAGCCAGTTTATTTGTTATATTTGGCAGTGGTTCCTTACCTGCTTCCTCTTCTCTTTTTAGAGTTTTACTTCACATTACACAGGGAATTCCCTTTTTGGCCTAGTAGTTCTTGGGGTTTTTTGAAGGAGATTCATCATATGCAATTGCATGATTATCTGTCCACTCTGCTGCTTCCACACCCTCCACAGGGATTTTGGAACCAGTTTCATGACAAGATGATTCCTCCACTCCCCAGGGCCTTTATGGGGCTGTGGCCAGGGAGCAGAGAGACTTTTTGGGGTGTGGGGTCTGTGAGTGTTAAACACCAGACATCAGAGCCATTCAGGAGCCTTGGGCCATGTAGCACCTTGTTGGAAGGGGCTCAAACTCAGTGGCTTTCCTGCAAATGGCCTGTATCCATCCCCAAAGGGGCTGCCCCTCTCCAAACAGGAGCTCCAGATTGTTGCTGTGTCTGCTCTTAAGTGCCAGGGGTCACCCCACTTGTCCCTGGAGGTGACTGTGTCCAGTGACAGCCTGATCGTCTCACGTGTAATTCCCAACATGCTGATGCAGTTCTGCCTGGAAACCTGGGGGCTGTGACACCCAAATGTGAGGCTGAACTGCTCTGGGGGAGGCTCAGCAATATTTATTTTTTTCCACTTGGGATTTAAAACTGAATAAAAAGAAATAGCAATTTTCCTTCTTGTTTGTTGTTTTTTAGGGTTTTTTTTGTTTGTTTGCTTGTTTGTTTTCTGGCAATCTTTTAATCATAAGACAAGAATGGTGTTCTCTCGTGGGCAGCCTGGTGGCTGCCAGGTCCCTGTCGGCTAGGGAAGCCAGGGCCACAGAAAGCTGAATTTGAGGGAGGGCTGGAGCTCTGTCTTGTGGTTGGGCTCCTGCACAGACCTGTAAATCATGCTTGCCACATCAGTGGCAGCAGTCAGTGTCAGTCTGAGCAGCTTTCTTCCAAGAAGTGAATAATCCAGATGACCACACTCGCTCTGATCTGAGTTTAGCTCAGCTTCAGGTGCCCGGGAGATGCTGCTGTGAGGGACCTCGCTGGAAGGACAGGGGACAAAGGCAGAGCCCGCAGCCACATGCTGCCACCCACCCCCCTGGGCTGGAGATCTCCCTGCAGGGTCTCGTTCCTCCCTGCTGAACAGGTCTGTGCGAGGGGAACTGGGCTGCTTTTCCTTGCCTGAGGCTCTGTGATACCTAGATTGCAGTCACGATTTAGCTTAAAAATAAGAATGCCTAAAAATCCCTGCATGCTTTTAGCAAATGCTTTTAGAGGCTCTTTGAACGGGGTGGTTTGTGAGCAGGGGCATTGCCTCTTGTGAGCCCTCCCCTGAGTGTGGGAGGGAACAATGCCATGGTGTCCTTGGTTCTGTGTCCCCACGGAGCAGCCCTGGGCCTGCCTGGACACCAGAGCAGAGGCCACGGAGCCTGATGTGCTGCCTGCTCCTGGGGAGGAAGCTGGGGCACTCTGCAAGGGTGTCCATCCTTCACTTCCCCTGTTTTATAAGCCCTAGGGCTGCGTTCTGGGCTCTCACTCTGGCAGGGGGGTCAGAGCCTGGGTCAAGCCTGCCCTGGCACTGGGAAATGCTCTCCCTGTTTGCCCTCTCAGGGCTGGAGAGGTCTGCAGACCCCAAGGTGTCCACTGGGCTCCCTGGGCATGGGGGGGCGAGAGCAGCTGCCAGCTGGTAGTGCTGGACATGGAGCCCGACTCGCTGTAAGCTCATTAGGGGAAGAAAGCGGCTTTAGAGGACGGGATGGATTTGAGCAAAGGGGTTGGGGCAATGGGGGATGGCTGGGGGGAAGTGGGGGTGCTGAGAGGGGCAGGAGGGAAGGGGCTCCTGGGCAGAGGGGCTTCCCTGCATCACCGAGTAAGATGCTACAGGGGCTCCTCATCAGCCATTCTGGTTTAGCCCGGTGCTGGGACCCCCATGAAAGCACGGGGGGATTCCCCGTCTCTCCTGACTGCCCCCACCCTGCCCTGAACCTCCTGCCAGGGAGATGCTGAGGCTCAGCTCTGTTCTGCTCGGCACACACCGGGCACAGAGGAGCAGCCCCGGCCCTTCCCAGCTCTGCCACCTCCTCAGAGCGGGTGCAGGATCTGGCCCCGCACCAAAAGCAGAGGTTTCCTGGCCACCTGCAGACCACTCTGCCCGCCCTGGCCGGCGCAGGGAGCTCCCAGCCGCTCTCACGCATCTCCTTTAAAGGCCTTCTCTCATCGGGCTCGTCGCCGGCAGCTCCGTCTGCCGCAGATGCGGCTGCTCTGCCCTGGGGGAGGCTCTGCCCTGGGGGAGGCTCTGCCGCCGGCAGCAGCCCCGAGCCCCCGATCCCCTCCCGGGGCCGATGGGGGCCCCGCAGGGCTGAGTGCCGACTCCGAGCTGGGTGATGCCAGCATCTGCCTTCGGCTGCTTGAGAGGAGTTCCGGCAGGTAATGATGTCCCGGGGAGCGTTTGGTCGTGGCTGAGTGGAGGGAAAGAGCCCGGTCTGGCATCTCAGGGGTTTCCTTATGCTAAACCAGCTGCGTGTCTCGTATCTTTTCCATCTGTAACACAAAAATACGGAGCGAGTGTCTGTGAGGCTGTCAGAGCTGGGGGAAGGCAGCAGCCTGCGGGGTCTGTGATGGATTGAGCACTTTGCAGCAGGGACCGGCCCTCCAGAGCACTCTGATGCTCGCTGCTGTGATGGGTTTGCCTGATCCCTGCTGGCTGGAAGCCTGAGCCCCGGGGTGGAGGTGTCAGCGACAATTCCCACCGTATAGGTGTGAAATGGGCTGGCTTTGGCAGGTGCCAAGTGCTGCTTTTTACACCTCCATCAGAGCTGAGCAGGCACTGAGAGCTGGGTGATGGCCCTGCTTTGTGCTGGGATGACTTAGACTGAGCTCGGCCTAGGCTTTGCACAGGCACGTGGGGCTTCAAGCAGTCCCTGCTCTCTGCCTCCATAGATCTCTCCTGCGTTTCCTGTCCTGGACAAAAAATTCTCTTTCTTTCCTATATCTGCATGTCCACGGGCACAGCCTGCGAGGAGTCACTGTAGGACAGCCCCTTGTGCACAGCGACTTCACCCGGGGATGGGAGAGGGACTTTGTGGACTCCTTGCATCTTTCTCTGATTCCTTAAACGTTGTGAAACAGCTTGAATGAGTTGTCCAAGCTCCCTTATATTTGGAAATCTTTTATATTTGTCTCTGGGAGCTCGGGGATTGTTCTGTCTGCAGCCTGGAGAACAGGGGGTTGCTCTCACTCTGCACTGCACTGGTTGGTGGCTGCAAATTTAGCTCCCCCCATGAAGCTGACCCACATCACAAGCCCAAAATGAGGATTGCCCTGGGGGAAGGAAATTGGGGTGGCAAGCAGGAAAGTCCACCCTCAGCACTGCCCAGAAATGAGACTTGTATTGAATTTCTCATTTGCCTTGCTCCATGCCCGCCCAAATCCCACCATCCTCCTCCTGAATCACAGCGGGCCTCCCCACCTCTTTTCCCACAGATGCCTCCACGCTAAGCAGAGGAGCTCGAAGCTCCTGCTGGGTGAGAAAACGCTTTAAAAATATAACATTTAGAGGCGGTCTCCATCTGCGCGCAGCTAATGTGGGTCTCTCACGATAGGTGTGCTGCTCCTGGAGCCTCTGCACTTCACAAATGAAGCCACTCGAAGGGACCTCGCTGGGACAGGGGGAGGAGGAGGCGCAGGGACCGGCCCAGGGGCGCCGGCGGCGGCAGAGGCAGAGGACGAGCTGCCGACCCAGCCCCTCACCTCGAAGGTACGTGCACCAAAAAAACTCACCCAGCGGCTCTCGGGGTGCCAGCAAGGATGGGACAGTGATGACAGTGCCAGGCAAGGGACACTGAGCATCGTTTTGGCACGGTGGCCCCTTCTCCTGCAGCCACTGCTCTCAGGCTCGCCAGGAGGCGAGGGAAAAGCCCTGCTGCAGCCCTTTCCAGAGGCAGGGGAAAAAGTTTAGGGGTTCAAACCCTCTCCCAGTTGGGTGCTGGGCTCCAGCGTGGGGCTGCAGAGGGCTCTTTGCCCCTGTATCCCCACTCCTGCCATCCCTGGTGGCCTCCAGCATCAGCGAGCAGGGATGCTACAGAGCTGCCAGACCTGGCACCCAGGACAGGGTTTTGGGGTGATAAACCTGTCCCAGTGCACTTTTAGGGGAGCCTGCCATCCCCATGGGGGTGCTGTGAGATGATTCCTGGGCTCTGGGTTTGTTATGGTGCTGGAAGAGGCCGGCTCGCAGCGAGGTCCGCTTGGCAGCCAGAGCAGGGAAAAAAAAAAAAAAAAGACATTGCTGAGGCAAAGTACGGCAGTGGCTGGTTGGTGACTCATTGCTGGCTGGAAACGGCTTCAGCGGGTCCTCTGTGGGGCTCTGCGGCAGCAGCAGGAGCGGAGGGGGCGGCTCGCCCGGGGCAGGCAGAGCGGGACAGGGACGGAGCAGGCTGTGGAGGATGCTCGGGAAGGACGCAGGTCCGGAGCAGCCCCATCGAGGGAGCTGGGGGAACGTGAGGGGTGGGATGCTGCCGATGCTTCCGGAGTTTCTTTAGGGTTTATCCGGGATTCCCTTCACAGGGAGCAGCAGGCAGAGCTGTCTGGGCTCCCCACATCTCCGGATGAAGGTAAGGGCAGCCCTGGTGGGGATGGGGTCAGAAGGGTGGGTTTTCCACCCTCCCTCCCTGAGGGTGTCCCCTGGCCTGACAACACCCCCCTGCAAACCCTTCCAGCCGTGGGACCCCAACCCCATCCCCTGGATTTGCCTCATCATCTGTAGCCCACCCTCTGCACTGGATCCCTGTCCCTCCTACCCCTGCCCTGGCCCAGTTTAGCTCCAGTTCCCTAAATCCCACAGGGATATTTTGGGGGGTACCTGCCAGCTCACATCCCTTGGGAGCCTGCAGGCTGCAGAAGTGCCAGTGGCAGTTTTGGGGGTCTCTCCTGAAGTGGTGTCAGGCTGGGGAGGGGACCCAGCTCCCACCATCCTTTCTGTCCCCAGGCAGGATGAGCAGTCCCCAGGGACACCCAAGCGGGGTTTTGGCCAGGAGCGAGCAGAGCGTGGAGCAGGTCAGTGAGGTGAGAGGGAGGGGAGGGAAACAGGTGGGGGGGCCTTCCCTGCCTGGTTCCTTGGGCTCAGCCAGGCCCTCCCAGCCCCTCTGTGCTGATCTTCTGTGCAGCACCAGGGGGAGGTTTGCTCCAACAGCACCTTTGTGCCTCTCAGGAGCCAGGCAGGGCCGTGCAGGAGCAGGCTGTGCACCCTGGGGACAGTGACAGGACTAAAGAAGGTGGGTGAGTCCTCATCCCACATCCCAGCTGGGTCCCCTTAGGGGAAGATCTGAAGTAGCTGGGGACGAGCATGGGAACATGTTCTGATGAGGGTTGTCTCCCTTAGTGGGGACATGGGGAAGGGGAGACTGGCCTGGGAGGACCTAAAGCCCCCCTAAGGGAAGGATTGGGATTGTTCCAAAACCTGGGCACCTACCTCCTGCTAAGAGAGGAGGCAGAGGGAGGAGGGAAGGCCAAGGGAAAGCCCTCACGTGTGGTCTCCTGTGTCCCCACTGCCTTCCTGCAGACACAGAAACCCTGGAGGAGCCACTGCTGAATCTCCCCAGTGAGCTCTCAGTGCTGGACAGACTTGGCTTGCACAGGTAAGACCAGTGAGCACCTGCATCCCTCCAGGGGCTACAGGACCCCTGGCGGGTCCCAGGGCACAGCACGGCTCAGAAGATTGGACTTTCCTCCTTTTCCATTGCACAAGAGTTGCCGTCCACACAATGGGCACTTGGCTTCCCACTTCTTGTGGTGGCTGGCACCCCTGGGAGCAGAACAAGGGCATTTTCAGCATGCAGCCCCCATGATTCCTCCATCCCTGACAGCACTTCTCTTTCTGCAGGGTGGCTTTGACAGAGCAGGACCTGGAGGTGAGGGCTGCTGGGGGCCATGGGTGGGCTGGGCAAGGGGGACAAAGGACAGACACCTTGCTGGCTCCCAGTCCCATGGCTGTGCCCTGCTCCTTCAGGCACTGCAGTCCCCTGGCAGCCACTTTACAAACCTTTTCCCAGAGATGCTTTTGGCATTTGGAGGCAGCTGCATTTCCATGAGTCTGTCCTCTGTGCGCCCGGCAATCCCACAAAGTGCTCTGCAGCTGCTAAAGAGTGCCCTTAGCCGGGGAGGCGGCAGGAGCCTTGCTAATAAAAATAATTTCCCTGCGAGTGCCAGGGCTGAGTCAGGCTCAGCTGTCAGCCGGGACCCGCAGCGAGGGCTGGCGTCTGCCCGGCGTGTGCTCTTGCCAGGAGGGCTCAACATTTCCATGCGTTATCGGCTGCCTGGGGGATGTGTCTCCCCGGGCTGGCATTTCAAGGGACTGTCCCCAGCAGGCAGCAGCCTAATGGGTGCTGGGGCAAGGCAAGTGCTAATTATCTTTAGCACTGCCCCATTTGGTGGCACGCTGGGAGGTCTGTCTGCGCCTTGGGACAGCAGCACATGGCCCTGGTGGCTTTCCTTCTGTCCCTGTGTCCCACCTCTCACCTCCCCACCCCGCAGGCAGCCTTTGCCCACCTGGCCCTGGCTTTTCGCTGCGATGTGTTCACCCTGCAGCAACGGGTGCAGGTGGAGAAACGGGCACGGGATGCAGCAGAGGAAAACATCCAGGAGGAACTGGGGCAGTGCCGAGCTGCCCTGGAGGTAGGTGGGCACCAGGACAGGGGGCTGGCACGTGCTGGCATCATCCAGCCCCAGAGGGGTTTGGACGACTCAAAGTGCCAGCTCCAGCAGCTCCATCCTTTCCCCCCACAGAGGCTGGGCCGATCCTGTGCCAACGCAGGCTGCAAGGAGACGCTGGAGCAGCTGCAGCACAACCTGGCCGTGCTGTCAGCGGCTGTTGAGAGGGCAACCAGTGCTGCGGAGAAGCTGGGGGCTGTACACCAGGTGTGTGCACAGCCAGGGCTGGCAGTGATGGAGGGCGCTACAGACGGGCTGGGACACTCATCCCTGGGCTTGCTGGGCTTTGTCCATCCTCACGGTGCTGGCCTTGACCTCATGTTTGCGCTTACCAGGGTGCAAGGGATCCATCTGCCTGCCCTTGGGAGCAGGAAGGGGATGCACCTGCAGTCCCTGGGTGGAGGCACCATGGCAGGCACAGGGAGGGACTGGCAGAGACCTGGCTCCTTAGGAGACGGGGGCCCTGATCCCCCATCCTGCCTGGCTGCAGGAGGCCCGGATGAGCCGAGCAGCAGAGGTGATGGTGCAGCACGTGGAGAACCTGAAGCGGCACCACATGCGGGAGCACGCGGAGCTGGAGGAGATGAAGCGCCTGATCCAGCAGAACTCCCGTAACCGGCAGCTGGCGGAGACCCAGGGTGAGGTGGGCTCTGCCACCGGGGCCTGTGCAGGGTTTGAACAGAGGAACCCGGCAGGATTTGGTCCCGAGTCCCTCTGAGGGGTCAGTGTGACCCTGCACCACAGAGCCATGGGTGGTGTGAGCTGAGGACTGGTAGTGGGGAACAGCTGATGGGGTGGTGAAGGGAACAGCTGATGACAGTTGTGAGGGGACAGTGGAACAGCAGATGCGTGTGGGAGCAGGTGCTGGTGGCCAAAGAGCCATAACCCAGCTGGGAATGCAGGGCAGTGGGGCCCCATGCACAAAAAGGACTCTGTTCCTGAACACCAAGTCCCACACATGCCATTGCTGTGCACAGAACCAGGTCCCCCTGCCCAGGGCACCACCTGTGTCATGCACAGAGCACATGGCCAGGACAGCATTCAGTGACAGGGAGCTTTGTGACCATCTGTGCATCAGCCCCTTCTTAGTGTTGGGGGACGATGTAAGGCGGCTTCTCTTTGCTCCCAGATGATGTGGAGCCACGGCTGAGACCTCACCCCCTGAAGAGAACTTTCCAGCAGGTAACTGGTCCCAGTTCACAAGTCTCAGAGCCACTGCCTCCCCATGCCCTGCCACCCTCCCTCAACTGGCTGTCCCCACACACCCACTTGTCCCCAAACAATGCCACTGCAGCCAGCTGCTTGCTGCAGGGAAGATCTACTGGAAGTGCCAGGGATGAGGCAAATGTAGGGGCAGCCTCGGAGGGCTGTTGGTAGACAGACAGGGTGCCCAGCAAGCTGGGGGCTGCCTGTGCAAGAGATCTTAAGGCAGATCCTTCTTCCATTGCAGGGCCACAGTGCGAGAGCCTCAGGCTTGGCTGTTCTTTAGCACCAGCTTGAATGTGACACCGATCCCCTGTAGCTCAAGAGGTAGGGGAGGGAGTTAGGCAGCCCCACCAGGACAGCTTGCAGCAGTAATGACAGGCACAAACCTCTTGTCTTTGACTTTCCCTGGCTTTCCAGTTACCCCTCTTAGTTCCAGTGGGAGTTGGCAGTGTCCTGTGGTGTCCCTGGCCGGTGCTGGGGAGGTGCTGGGGAAGCAGGAGGTGAGAAGCACAGTGCTCACCTCCAGCCCCTCTGTTGCAGGGGTCTGCCCGCCGCAGAGTCAGCATCGCCGTCATCCCCAAGCATCTCTTGGTAAGGACGTGTTTGGTGGGGACAGCCAGGAGCTGTGTCCCCAGGCTCCGTGTCCCCACTGATGCTCCCACCTTCGGTGCCCAGCCAGGTGCCAGCCCTGACAGCCGAGCAGCCCCAGCAGGTGATCCGGAGCCAGAGGGGGCCCAGCGCTGGCCCAGCACCCAGAGGTAACTGCTGGGTGGCCGGGCAGCCATGGCAGCAGCTGCCACTGGCCCGTGTGGGACAGCACTGACCCCGGCCTCTCCCTCCCCAGGAGTGAACTGGAGCCACAGGGCCAGGACAGCGCCGTGAGCGGGAAGTTGGTGGCAGAGGCAGATGGCAGAGGCTCAAGCACAGGGGACGAGGAGCCAGAGCAGCATGGGCTGACGTGAGCAGCACCCTAAGTGTGCCCAGCATCCCCCCGTGGCTGCTGGCCTCTCTGTGGTCCCCGGGTGGCCAGCACGTGGGCAGAGGGCTGGGATGTTGCTTGGCTGCCTCAGCTCAACCCCACTGTGCCTCAGTTTTGCTCATGCATTGTGGGTTGCCCGTGCCCACCTCAGGCTTGTTCTCTTGGGTTTGTAAAAGGGCCAGTGAGGTTTGGGGCTGTTAAACATCTTTCTTGTCCCCAGACGGGTTGGAGGTGGGATTTGCTCTCTCCCACGGATGACAAGTGTCCCTGGTCACCTTTTCCCCAGGTCCAAGGGGTCTGCAGCAGAACTGTGGCGTCCGTGGCTCTTCCTCCCACAGCACTACTGGGTTTTCTTCTGGCTGCTTCTCCTGAGCATCGCCTTCCTCCTTCTCATCCGTGTCCTGGAGCTGCAGAGGCTGCAGTCTGCAGCATCATCCAAGGCCTAGCTGGACAGGGGAGAGGAAGCTGAGAGGCATCTCTGCTCCTTCCCCAAGTCCTGAAACACCAAAACAGTAGAATAATAAAATGGGAGGAAAAATGGGGGAATTGTAATGACGGAGCAGGGGGTAGGATCTAAGGTAGGATCTAAAGTATGGTTGGCACATCCATATAACCATGAAGAGTTCAGGGAGCTGCAGAAGCTCTCACTGATGCTGTGAGTTGCCTGTTTTCAGTACATCAGGGAGTGCAGGTGTGCTCCCATATATATCCCCTGTGCTGGGGACAGCTCGGGCTGCCCACGGCCGTGGGTTTACTTTAGAGCCGCGTCCCTCAGTGCCACCACACGCCCTCAGTCCCTGCTGTAATTCACATCTAATGCTCCTTTTCTGCTGCCCGGCCGACAGCGCTGGGGCTGGCAGGTCCGTGATGAGCCTTTCCCACGGCACCACAAAGTGCTCACAAACAGAGGGAGCTCTTTGCGACCGCCTGGGAAAAGCGCTTGGTTTGACACAGACTCTCCGTTTCCGTGTCCGCTCCAGCCTCCCGCGGCCCCGAAACACGGGTGGGTTTCACTGCACCCGCACCCAGCAGCTTTGCAGGGACCAGAACAGCCCGGCCGAGCTGCCGGGTTCTGCCCGAGCTGGGGGTTCTGCACCAGGATCCCCAGGAAGGGGCCGGAGGGGCTGCAGAGGGGAGGGATGGAGGTGCTGCGCTGGTCACCCTGCTTGCTGTAGCCGCCGGCAGTGCCACGGGTGACTCAGGGTGGCCGATGTAACCAACGCCCCGTTCGCCACCTCGCCCCGTGTCCCTGAGTCACCGTCCACAGTCTCGTGACAAGTTGTCCCCGTGCGTCACAGCACGCGAGCCCCCTCGCCGTGACACCGTCCCAACACACGGCCAATGTCCCGCAGCACCCCGAGGACATCGCCACCAGAAACCCCAAAAAAGCTCCCGGCCAGCAGCGATCTGCGGTGAGCCCGGGGGCTCCCCCGCCCGCCCCAAGGTACCTTCATTCACCCCCTGGCACCGTTCCCACCCGGGCGAAACGGAAACGAAATCCCAGAAGTTTCCACGCGAGCTGTGGTGGTCGGGGTGCAGAGCTGGCACTGGGTGGGTCCCCCCGCCCTGGATCCTCCGGTGTCCCCAGCACCCTCCCGGCCGGTTTCTGGCTGCGGGAGGAGCAGCACAACGCCGTGAGAAGGGGGTGAAGCGGTCTGGCTTCATCACCCGAGTCTTTTTGTTTGCTTGGCGAAAAGTCTGTTTTCTCACCCTCCAATACAAAAAGCCCAGCTGGGGTTGCCCTGTGCCGCTCGTCCCGCCGCTCCAAAGCTCCAGAGCTCCAAAGCTCCCGGCTCTGCAGCGGCACAAGGAGCGGTGGCCCCGGGGCCGCCCCTCTCCCGGCACCGCCCGGCCTGGGTCCCCCCGGCCGCGGGGGAGGGTCGGGCAGGCGAGGGGAGGGGAAGGCCGAGGAGGGGAGGGCAAAGGAGAGGAGGGCCGGGCCGGGCCGGCAGCTGCTGCTTGCGGAGCCAGAGCTCGTTTCCTGCTCGCTATCGCCTGGCTGCGCCCAGCTCCGGTCCCTCCCCACGCCCTGGTCCGTGCCTCAGTTTCCCCCTCCGAGAGGCTGTGGAGGTGAGTGGAGGGTGAGAATGGGAAGAGCATCCCTGGGCGTGGGGGGGATCAGGGCTCTGCTGTCCCCCCAGCCCCGTGTCCCCCCGGTCGGTGCCAGCATCCCGACCGCCGGTCCCCTCCGCCCGCCCCGCTGGGAGCATCGCTGCGCAAGGCGGGCACGGGGGGGTGACAAAACCGAGCGGTGATCCTGCGGTCCCGGGGTGGGCTCAGCCCCCCGAACCCGTGTCCTGCGTGTCCCTGGGCCGCTCCGTGGCACGGTAGCGCTTTTTCTCCGGCTGAGCCCTCCCCACAGCCTCTCCCGGGGACAGCGGGGTCGCCCCTGCTCTTCCTCTCCAGACCCTGACTTCTTGCTGCCCTCAGGACAAAGGGAATTGTTCCCAGAATCACCCAGTGATGAGCGGGATGGGGTGGGAAGAGCTTTCCTAAGATCCCTGAGGGATGCTCTGTGCATCATCACGCACATATCTTTGTCACAGATGTACTTGGGGTAAAGGAGAAGCAGGAAGAAGAAAATGATGCGGCTTATGAAGCCTGGCCATGACCAGACTTCCTCTTTTTACCAATATTCAGTTGCAAGAGCCAGATTCCTTCGTGGGCTGGTGTTGGGCAGTGAGGAAAGGCTGAGCAGCAAAAATAGGGGGGAAAGTTTGCTCCTGCCCAAGTGCTGTCTGTGCCCAGGGCTCCCCGGGATGGGGCCAGGCTCTTGTGTGTGGATCCTCGGCAGGGCCATGCATGTTTGTCCCCTCTCCTCAGCCCTTCTCCCCATGGCTCCATGCTGGGGCCTTGCAAAGCTGGGATGTGCTCATGCACTCACATCCCTGCCTCAAACCAGAGGAGCTGCCAGGGATTCTTCACTCCCTTCAAGGATTAAAACCCCCCCAAATCAAGGCAAGTTTCAGTGGTGTTGGCCAGGGTGGTCTCCCTGCCCAGTCCCACATCTGCGATGTTTCTCCTGAGCACAATAACATTTGTAAGAGCTTCCAGTGCCTTCACCCCTTCCTGACACCCTCCCAGCTCAGCTGGTGGTTGAAAGCAAGGGCTTTGGCCAAGCTGTTGGGTTTCTCCATCCTGCCCACTGGCCTGTAACTGGAAGGGCTCTCCTGGTCCAGTCCAGCTCAGCAGCCTGGCCTGCAGTGTCCAGGCTGGATCCCAAACCCGGAACAGCTCATCCATGCTGGGAGCCAGCACAGCCGATCTGCTGAAAATCTTTCCAGCTTTCATCAGCTCTGGAGCCGTGTCCTTTCCCACCCTATTTCCATGTGCCTGGAAGACACGTGAGCTCCCAAGCAGCTTCCCCCACCTCCTCCCAAGAGGCTGCATCTCCTGCAAGGGCAAGAGGGAGATCCTGACCCGCAGGGTGGGATGGGGAGTCCCTGCTCCAGGGGTGCTCCCCGTGTGTCAGACCCTATGCCCATGGGGTGATGTCCCCATAGGCAGTTCTGCAGCCAGCCAAAGCCGACATGAGATGAGTCAGGGCTGGCTGCAACCCCCCCTCCTCCCTGCTGTTTGCAGGAACAGTGTTAAGGGAAGAAATGCAAAAGGCTTTGATGAAAAGAGCAGAGCCAGAGGCAGCCTGGCTCATACTGTGCCCTCCTCCACTGCCACTGGCCTTTGTGGGCTGAAAGCTGGGGTTTTGTATCAAGACTGCAGGAACTGAGTTTTCCTAGGAGTTTCTGACCTTGCTTGCAGTTGTCAAGGGGGTTTGAGTGTGTCAGAGTGCTGGCAGGATAATCCTTTCCGTAGGAAACTCTATAACACAAGGCTTGTTGTTCTGCCTCTTCTGAGCCTCCTTGCCAAAGCGTAGGGGCTGGAAAGCTTTCCCAGGCAGCACGTTCCCCCTGGCATCATGTCCAGTGGGAATCAAGGCCAGGAGAAGGACTTTGTTAAGAGCCAGGGGCTGCTGAGGCTGGAGTAGATGCTCCCATCCTTTATCCCATCTCCCTGGGGCTGCTCTGTGGTGACCTTGGCAGGTGCCAGTGCAGTGACTTAAGCTCCTGGAGGACAATCCATCCTCACGGGGCACTGGTGCCTGGCCAGCCAGTGCTGCCTGGGCAGCCTCTGTGGCAGGACTGCAAACTCTCTGGGGAGGTTTGCAGCACTGCCTCAGTTTCCCCAGGCTCATCCTGTCCCGCTAGCAGTGCTCAGGGGAAGAGCAGAAGTCTGTCCTCAGGTCTCACAGGCCCATCATGAATGCACAGGCCATGTCCTGTGTCCCCACGCTGCCACTCTGGTGTGTTCCAGCCCCTGGTGTGCCACACCGGGTGCCTTATTCTATGCCTGCCCAAGAAGGAAGTGGTTAAAGTGCCCTGATTTCCTGAGTGTGATGCAGGAAGGGAAGATGACCTGCAGATGTGATTGGAGGGAAGGTGACCTGCAGAAGTGCTTTGCAAGGCACATTCTGGTGTCGGGAGAGTCCTGAGTGACACTGAGCTTGAAATCCAGCTAGAGTTCGGTATTTGCACCCAAAATTTAAGCACTTGAGTAACTCCTTTCTCTGCACACTCTTAGCCCCCTCCTCCTGAGGGCAGCCTCATTTATTCGTGGCATCCTTGTCCCTCTGCAGGGGTGGCCGCCACCTTCCGTGTGCTGCCACGTGCTCACGATAACACTCAGGGCAGAGGGCAAAGACCAGTGGTTCAAAGGTCAGAGCTCTCCGTCTTCCCCAGCCTTTCCAGCAGATCCTCCTTGGCAGCGCCGGGTCTCTGCCAGCTGCCGTGCTGCACTGGGGGAGCCTCTCACAGCCCCGGGGCTTGGCGACAGTGGCCGGAAAAGGCAACACTTTGTTCTTGGTGCTCGGGGCAGTGCCGGGAGTAGGGACAGATGCAAGGAGAGATGGGAGATGCCAAGGGCAGGGGGTTTTGGGATGCCTAGGGGTAATGTGCTGCACCCCTCCTCCCATGGCTTCCGTGGCGTGATGGGGCTGTTTGTAGGGTGATTTGACTTTTATTTGATTGTCTCACCAGTGCTTCCTCTGTGCTAATCTACTTCCACCCGCTCCAGGAGTGGTAGAAGGGGAGGTGGGGGAAAAGGTCACCCCACTCCAGCTGCAGAAGCCAAGCTGCTCCCTCCGGCCCCAGGGCTGGTCTTGCTGGTTTTTGCAGCAGCTGAGTGGCTGACTCCTAAAGCCAGGAGCTCGCTCCCATCCCCCTTAGTGAGGCCCAGGCTGCAGAGGAAGGAAGCGGTATCTTTGCTCCAAAACAACTCGCTCTGCTCTTGGCTGTTGCAGGTACCCGCTGCATGGAGGAAGCCACTTATTGCTGCCACAGCCCTCCCCATCCCCTCCCCTGACGCCACTGTGGCAGGGTGGCCCCGTGGCCCTCTGGGTGCAGTGGCAGGGTGGCCCCGTGGCTCTCTGGGTGCAGCATCCAGGGACGGTCCCATCAGCTGCTGCCACAAAGTGCGCCAGTTTTGACAGTGCCATCACCACCCAACAGCACCTGCAGCTGGGAAACCTGGCACTGAGACACCAGGTCTGGTATGGGATGCCTTTGGGGGTGGGGATCCAGGACGGTCCCCTCCCTGCTGACCTCTGCTGTCCCTCTGCCAGGCTTCTGGGTGACACAGGATGAGTGTGCTGGCCGACGAGCCGGGCAACCCGGCCCATGCCATCTTTGAGAGGTTCCTGCGTGCCGGGGAGTGCCGGGAGGTGCTGGGCTGCTTCGTGGAGCTGTGCCAGCAGCTGGGGCTGCAGGGCAGTGGGCTGCAGCTCTACCACGGCCTCAAGGCTGCCCTTAACTACTGGAATGCCAAGGCTTTGTGGAGCAAGCTGGATAAGAAAGCTGGGCACAAGGACTACGACCAGGGCACAGCCTGTGCTGGCACCAAGGTACCTGGGATGAGGGGTGAGGGGTTTGGGTCCCTCCCTGCCCTGTGTCCTTGTCTCCAGGGTGAGAACATCCCCTGGGACACTCTGGCTCTCATCCCAGGAGGATGTAGGATGTGCCAGGCGGGAGGTTGGTGGAGTTTAATGGGACAGGATGTTAATTAGCTCTGCTCAGTTCCCCATGGCATGATGCCACCTCAGTGCCACCCAGCCAGCAGCGTCCTTCCTCCTCCCAGCTGCCTCTCACTGGGGACATCCCATGGCAGGGCTGAGGAACCTGTCAAGTCCTTTCTGGGAGACAGGAGCATCCCAAGTAGGATGTCCCGCTGGGAACATCTTCTTCCCTTTCCCACAGATGATGGCTTTTGTCCTGACTGCTGTGCCCCATTGTCCCAGCCCTGTGCAGAAGCTGTCAGGAGACCAAACCCGTGTCAGGGCTGCAGCAGACCTGCACTTTATCTCATCCAGTGCTTTAATTGCTGCCATTGCCCTGTGTGAAGGCAAGGTTCGGGGGGTGGGGGGCACCCCGGTTTGCAGGGACAATCAAGCAGAAAAGGGGAATGATGAGGAGGCCCCAATCCTGACCCAGCAGACGGGGAGGTGCTGCCTTTGGGAGTGCTGGGGGTTCACCCAAACCTTGCTCGGGGGCTGCCCACTCATTCCCCACCCGCCCTGTGCCGTGGCAGTGCCTGGTGGTGGGCGCTGGCCCCTGCGGGCTGCGGGTGGCCATCGAGCTGGCGCTGCTGGGTGCCCGCGTGGTGCTGCTGGAGAAGCGCGACTCCTTCTCCCGCAACAACGTCCTGCACCTCTGGCCCTTCACCATCCACGACCTGCGGGCGCTGGGCGCCAAGAAGTTCTACGGGCGCTTCTGCACTGGCACGCTGGACCACATCAGTGAGTTTTAGGGGGACCAGGCTCCGGGGTCCCTGACTGTGGAGAGTCCAGGGACTCAAGGGTGCAGCCCTGAGTACCTCTCTCCCCTCCCAGGTATCCGGCAGCTCCAGCTGATCCTGCTGAAGGTGGCTTTGCTCCTGGGGGTGGAGGTGCACATCAATGTGAAGTTTGAGGGCCTTGTTCCCCCCGAAGAGAAGGGAGGTACGGTATCTCTGCAGGGCGGGTGGCATTCCTGGGGACAAGGACCGGGCTGTGGGTGTCCACTCTGGGCCCCCCAGTCTCTCTGCTAGCCCAGGGCATGCCTGTTTGTGGGGAATGAGATGCAGCCCTTCCCCTGCTCCCTGGGGACCAGCAGGTTCATGACCACCCCTCTCTCTCACTGCAGGTGGCTGGCAGGCTCTGCTGCAGCCCAGTTCCTCTCCCCTCACCCACTACGAGTTCAACATCCTCATCTCAGCTGGCGGTGGCAAATTTGTCCCTGAAGGTGACAACAGGTGTCCCTGCAGCCCCAGGGCCAATATGGGGGGCTGGGTGGGGGCTCACAGCTCTCCCGTGCTGCAGGGTTCAAGAGGAAGGAGACACGTGGCAAGTTGGCCATTGGCATCACCACCAACTTCATCAACCGCCACAGCCGGGCTGAGGTGGAGGTGGCTGAGATCAGCGGTGTGGCCCGAATCTACAACCAGAAGTTCTTCCAGAACCTCTACAACAAAACGGGTCAGTGGTCCCGTGGTCCCAATCCCCTCATTTGGGGCATTGGGAGTTCCTGCTCCCTCCTGAGGGAGCTGGAGGCTCAGCCCCAGGATGTCCTGTTATGGGGTGCATGTCCCCACGTGATACCCCACTGCAGGGGACATTTGGTGTCTGAGCCCAGTGCTGGGGCACCCCATGACCCTGGCTCAGCCCCTTCCCTGTCACCAGGCATTGATCTGGAAAACATCGTGTACTACAAGGATGACACTCACTATTTCGTCATGACGGCCAAGAAGCAGAGCCTGCTCAAAAAGGGGGTCATCCTCCAGGTGAGAAGGGCAGGATCTGGCCCTGGGATCTCATAGCAATGAGCAGCTGAAAGCCTTGAAAGTGGGATGCAAATTGTGGATGCTGGTTTGACTACACACCCCTGGGGTGGTAGGGAATGCAGCAGCTGTTGCCTGTGCCACAGGAAAAATCCTTCCAGGGTAGTGAGAGTGTGATGGCACAGCTGCACCCTAGAGCTGAGTGCTCCTAGGCTGAGGGACAAACATCACCTCCCACATCCCAGTCAGCTTCACCCTATCCCTACAGGACAAAGCAGACATTGAGAGCCTCCTCTCCCCAGAGAATGTGAACCGAGACGCCCTCTTTAGCTATGCCAAAGAAGCTGCCAACTTCTCCACCAACTACTGCCTGCCCGAACTGGAGTTTGCCCTCAACCACCGGGACCTGCCAGACGTTGACATGTTTGACTTCACCTGCATGACGCGCTCGGAGAACGCGGCGCTGGTGCGGGAGCACAACGGGAGCCGTCTGCTGCTGGGGCTGGTGGGCGACTGCTTGGTGGAGGTGAGAGCTTCCCCTGCAGCACCACCTCCTGCTTCCATTTCCCTCTCCCTGCAAGATGCACTGGTTGCAATATATTTCCCCTCTCTAAATGCTTCTCATCCCAATTTCCCAGTGCATCCCATCCTTGGGCAGACTCCCAGTAGTGCAAATTTTAGAGAGATTATTCCCTTCTCC